ATGCTACGGGGTTGTGCTTCCATGTTTATACGAACGACTGGCTCCTTCTTGCTCATTCCAAACGGGAATTGGCCTGTCACATTCGTCAGCTCCTGGCCAAAGCTGCATGGGTGGGCTGATTGATCAAATTGGAGAAGTCTTTCCTTTTTCCTGCCCAATACCTTGTCCATTTGGGTATTTTCTTTAACACTCATCTCAGTCTGGCCCAACCTTCTCCTCTCTGTCTTGATTCTATGGAACAGGCCATTTGGAAAGCCCTGTCTGTTCCCTCACTTACAGCTCGCGAGGCTCTATCACTTTTGGGAATGTGGTCCTCCATGACCCCTATCATACCCCTGGGCAGGGGACATATGCATTTTCTTCAATAGGTTTTTCATGTTAAATAGAACCTCGTTTGGGATCCCTTGGATACTTTTATATCCCTTCCATTATCCCTTGTAGATGATCTCTATTAGTGGTTAAACAGGGCCCACATGTTGGTGGGTGTCCCGCTTCCTCCTCTGTGGCTAGATTTACATCTGTTCATGGATGCATCCCTTCAAGGCTGGGGTGCCTGGGTGGATCACCAGGTAGTTTTTGGTCATTAGTCTGTGGAGGAGAGTTCTCTTCACACCAGTGTTCTCGAAATCCTGGCTGTTCATTGGGCTTTGGATAATTTTCTTTCTCTTGCCAGCTGCCGGCTGATTATGATCCATTTTGACAATTCTACCATGGTGGCTTATATCAATCACCAAGGTGGCACCAGGTCCACTTCCCTGTGTTTTTGCACTATGGATCTTCTTTATTGGGACCACACACGTTAACTTCATTTGATGGTGTGTTGTGTACCGGAAGCTTTTAATCTTGTAGGTGACTGTTTTTCTTCTTTTATCCCACGGATGGTTCCTGCATCTTGCCATTTTTCGGTGGCTCTGTCTGCATCTGGGTATGCCCCATATTGATGCCTTTGCTTCCACCCTCAATCACAAATGACCTCTGTTCCTCATTCTTGAGCCTTGGCTCTTGATGTATTCAGCCAAAATTGGTCTGATATGTTTCTTTATGTTTACCCTTCCATTCATTTACTTCATCAGGTGGTCTCCCTCATTCATGCCACTCCATGCACAGTCCTTGTGATTGCTCCTTACTGGTCCACTCAACCTTGGGTTCCTTGGTTGCTCCAACTGCAGGTGGTTCCTCCTCTTCCCTTCTGTCCCAACCTGCTCCATCAACCCCAGTCACAAGCTCTCCATCCTGCAATGTCTCTGTCTTCATGCCTAGCTTTTGTCAGGCCCTTAACGAGGACTTCTGGTTTCTCTCACAGAGTAACTTCACATTTAGCCCATTCCATTGCCCTTCTTCTTTGGCTGTCTATCAATGCAAATGGAGCATTTATTGCACCTGGGTATTGAATCAGGGTTTCTGGGCTTCTCACCCAATGGTTGTCTGTATCTCTGAGTTTTTCATGTGGCTCTCTGAGACGGGTTCTTCAGTCTCCTTGATTTTGGGGTTTCAACTGGCATTATCCCATACCTTCCATTTTTCCCATTCTGCAGGGTCTTTGCTTCCCCCTTCCTTTCCATGTTGATCCATTCTTTTTGGTTTCATTGGCCATCTAGGCATCTGATGTTGATACCAAGTGAATGAGGCTTTGGATGTAGTTGACTTACAGAGTATGGTCCGTCACAACCTAGCCACTCTACACCATGGGACATATCCTCACTTGTCCAATTTCCATCGTGGGATTGAGCAATTCTTACTTCTGTTTAAGATCACATTGCTAAACTATTCCCTCCCATGTGGACGTGCTCCCTTTACGTTTTACCGTGTCTGATCCTCCTGATCATGTCCATGTTCCTAGCGAGGAGATACCTGGCTCAGATGTGGTGCAGTGCCCCTCCTAAGATCATCTAATCTGTTCCTCTCATTTTGTGGGTGTCCTTCAGATGCTTCTGGGAGATATGCCTATGCTTCCTGGCACTGGTCCTTCCTTCATTTAAATGTGTGATTCAAGCTAATCTTGTGAGCGGAGGGAGAGTACCGATAGGTACTTCCCTCCTCTCACACTTCTCACCAATCCTCCCCACAATCTTCTGATGCTCTCATCTTCCGCCAAACTTTAAAGTGATAGTTCGGTAGTAGCGCGTACAGGGAATCACATGCATCAAATGATAGTAGTGCTCTCCTATTGGTGGAGAGGTGATGCATGATGATTTGCATGAAAGATGTGTTGGAACTTTGGATTCCAACAGAGGGATGATGAAGGCTTGTGGCATATGTTTCTGAAAATGTTTTCATACAGAGGGCAGCACAAAACAAGAAAAGCTAATCTTGTGAGAAGTGGGAAGTACCTCTCAGAAATACATTTTTATTTAGGAAAATCATAACATTGAGATAATAGAGAAACATTTGTATTAAGAAGTTATGGTAATTCAAAATTGTGGAAAGTTAATGTTTTTTAATTTTTTTGCACATGAAAAGTTTTATTGGGTTATATCTGAAAAGTGCTACATGCATAAGGAAAAATGTGTGTACATTTATTATTACAGAATACCTGTTAAGACAAATTTATATGATAATGGTTAAATTTTATTCATATAAAGGTGTGTTAAATAAAACTATCAAATCTGTGGTAATAAGTTTCATAGTTTTTGATTTAATGTTTTTAGATTGTTGGTTGTTATATATATTTGTAATTTATATACATGCTATAATATCTGCATATTTTTCTTGGAATGAGCTCTCTGATTCTCTCAAGTAGGGATGAAAAATGAAGAACAATTCATATCAGTTGCATTTTAATGTGTAATTTTAAAATGCACAACTATTGTTAAGTAATTGTAGTTGTTTTTAATTTACCTCAACAAAAGTTAATATCTTTATTTGAAAATTTCTAAAAGCTTTTGTAATATTTTCTTATCTTACTTTATGATAATTTAACATTTTGATTTTTTTCAAAATTATAAAACATATATCTTTAAAATGAAATGACAATCTTAATTCCTGTTAGATGTACCCAGAGGTCAGATCTGGCTTGTTCAGCAACTTGTTACAGCAGGAGACACAAGTAATAAGTTTCTATTGTCATTTGTATTTGAGGGATCATCAGGATTCAAAAATATCTCCTCAGAATCTACTGCATTCTTAGTGGTGGGTGTAGACAAAAGAGTTGGGAAGTGGCAAATGTTGGGTAAGATAAAAGGTTTGATGTTATGTTTGCACTACAACAAATATAGGTATAAAAAATCTATATTTATATGGATAATTCTGTTCATATTATATGTTGCACTTTCAGTTGTTGATGCACATACTTCTACAGATAAGTTCAAGTAAAAGAAATTCATTAATTCAAGTTTTGAATTAGACAGAAGACTATGACTACAATCAGCAACTTTTTGTTACGTGATACATATCTAAATATGCTAGTCGAATTGAACTAACTTGTATCTGATAGAATAGAGGAAGTCTGATCAGTAGAACTTATTTCTATGTTTTATGTGTAGTTATATGTATATGGTAGGCTACTTGTAGCAGCATGGTGGTGGTAGAAAAGTGAACTACCCTGTAGAAGTAGGGTGTGTTACACTGTGGTAGTAATGTGGACTGTTCTGTGGTAGTAAGGTAGGCTACCAATTGGTAGTAGAGTGGATTATCTTGAGATTTGTTTATTTTTATATTGGTCTCATCCAAGCTAGACAATTGTGAACCATGGAGAACTGCTTTGCTTACCCTGAATTTTGTAGTAGTTAAAGTTGATCAAGCTATCAGAAATGATGTAGAATTGATATGTTTCAAAACTTTCTAGCTGCACAAATTTACATGTATTAGCAAAATATGCTGAAAATTATGGATAGGTTTGAACAAATTGTCACATTAGCAGTGTTTACATAAGATACAATTTAAACATTACTACGTTTTAGTCAACTAAACAGGTTAATTTCATGATCAATTAACAGTACATGTGTATAATTTTGTTTGTATAGTTAGAAGGATAATTAATACCAGTCATCAAGGAATTCATATGTATCTAAATTATTTTATTTAACTAGGGCTGAAATCTTATTGAGTGCTTAAATAAGTTTAAAATGTGCATATTTATCCTTTTTGGTATCATGTGTTTGTTGATTTTAGTTCAGGGAAATTGGGAGGGTTAAGTCACCTTCGGGAATTATTTTTAACTTTTAAATACCAATTTAGGCATTATACACCATAAAAGTTGATGTCTCATATATGGTTACATATAGTCATGTATATGTCACTTTTTTCTTGAATTTTCCAAGCTAAATTAACTGAATTAATATAACATTTTAGATAAATTAGGCCACAAACATTGCAGTGAAAAAAGGTGCAGTCAGTTTGCAGTGAGGGAAAGGTAAAATGTAGTCTGTGGAAGTATGTTCTGTACAGTAGTAGGTATTTACCATCTACCTCAATAAACTTCAGTTTGCAGTTCTCATGTGAAGTAAAATTATACATACAGTGTAAATAAATTAAAAGCAGATGTGGTGCTCAAGTCCAATACATCACACATCTAAATTACCAATCAACTTCTGTGGCCAGTTGTGGGAAGGTAGTTGCTCCTAATGAAGCAGAAAATCAAAATAAAGGACGTTATTAAAAATAGATTACTAGAGGTGATAATTAAATGGTGTTAGTAAAAGATAAATTTCAAGATCAATACTTAAAATATTTTGTTTAAATTTTCTCTTTAATAAGTTACAAATCAAACTTATAAAATCAAAGGTTAACAACTTTGATACAATGATAGTCTGAAATATTTTAAAGAAATGCCCTAGTGTTTGAATCATAAGTTATACACAGAGAGCTTGTTTTGGATATGCTAATTTTAAATAAATTTTGATTTTACTAATTTGGCTTGTGAAATTTATATACTTTAGTTGTTTTTTTTCATACAAAAATGGAACAATGTTAAGTTCAGTAAAAAAAATTATTCCTAAGAAGCTAAATTTTGTCCAGATTATAATGTTTTTAGAACTCTTAAGTTTGTAATTAGCTCAAATATGGAGAATAATTTATTTATTTTTACAGTTCAAAATAAATGGGTTTCACTACGAGAAAAAGTTGTTTTAAAGTTAGGATATATTTTGAGAGTGGAAACCATAAGGCCTGAACTGTTTGGGGTGGTTCGGTTGATGTTACTAGACAAAGGTAAGTAATGAAGATTGTCATCCATTCATTACTGATAAGTTTTTGTTTTATAGTATGTTTATGTAAATATATTGCATGATTGTAAAGCAGTTTCTGTGATCCAATACATATTACTTCGTTATTAGTTTCACGTTATATGTCTTAATCATGATACAAAAACTAATTACGATAAAAACTAAATGGTAAAGTAAAAGAAAAATGCATATCTAGTTTAAAATTCATTTTAAAAGTCTGTAATAATGACATTTTCTACTCTTGTATTGGAATGAACTGTGAATATGTTTTTAGAATCCACATATTCAGCTTGAAATCCTCATTCACAGTCTCTTTGTTAACTGAAATTTCCATTTGGCTTGAGAAATACTCACAGTAATTGCCTATATGTTTAATGTTGTTGTGTTATGTAATGTTTTTTATCAACAGATTGATTGAAAATTTCAATTGAAAACTAACAAATGGCATATCAAAATTTGATGTGATTTATATGAAAATAAAAACTACAATTTGGCAGTGTGAGCTCTTCTGAAACTAGCATCTGACAACTGTGTGTATACAACTGTATATATATATATATATACATCCCTGTTGATTCCATAGGAAATGAGGTTAAAGACAGAGAGAGATATATTTTGAGATACTTTGACATACATTTACTGTCTTAATTAGTTTAAAAATGTAAGTTTGTGGTTATGAGATAAAAAAAATAACCTGTCATTAAAGCTTTTATAATTTCTTGTTGCAGGTGGAATTTTTCACCTGCTATGTCATCTTGTTGTGTCATCTTCATCACATCCACAGATCTTCTTTACAACCCCCGCAGTGACTTTAAAAGAAGGTGAACCATTATTGGTCAAGTTGTCTGATGTTGTACAAATACCTGCATTAGGTACTGGAAAGTTCTGGTGTAAGTATATATATTTGTGAGTTAAATATCAGAATTTTGGCTTAAGTTTGTGAGTGTAAATATACATCTTCTGCACATAGAGTTCTTTCTGGTGTAAGTAAAAATAATTGAAAGATTAGTATTGATATAATAATACTCAAATGGATATTATAAGAAATTGAAATCACAAAAATTAAACAAAGTACTTAGTAAAATAGCACTATGTGGTGGAAGATGCACAGTAAAGTGCCTATGTGGGTTTTGGGTGAGAAATTCAGTTCTAGTTCTAAAAAAACATTAACAACAGGTTTAAAAACTTTCATGGTAAAGGATAAAATTACTACATTTTATCCAACAGAAAACATCAACTTGATGACATCTCATGATAAAGTATACATTTTTATAGCATAAAGGTTTTTATTTCATATTCTGTAGTTGTACTATACCCTTCAAACCTAACAACACTTGTGTGTAGTAGAACTTAGTTGTCTTATACCAAATCAAAACTGAAACTTACCTATTACATTTTAAAGTTGGCAAAGTTGGTTAAAGTACACTGTGGTAAATCACACTGACAACACTTAAGCAGAAGTTTTTATAACTTTCTTTAAAATATTGCAGTTCATTTAACTCTCATAAAAATTTGTGACAAATGCAAAATTATAGTACTCATAATAGTTTTTCTGAAATAGCCACATATGATTATTCTAAAATGATATGCATATTATTTGAATACATTTCTTTTTATTTAAAACACTTGAATTGTATATAAACTCCAAGATTTATTCTTTGAAATAAAGAATATATAAAAATTCATGATTCTGAAAAATTACATCAAAGTGTCAAACACAACCAATATGTGGTAGATGCTACTTTTCCAATTAATGTAATATATCTTTAAATTAAACACTTCTTCTCTACAATTAAAGTGATGAGACTAGACAAGGATATATACTTTTTATTGGCTTGGGGCTGTTTTTCTTTTATCCCAGTCAAAATATAATTTGGAATCACACTAAATGCTATTTGATCTAGAAATAAATTTCCCTATGTATAGCTGTTTATTCGTTTGATAGTATGTGTAAAAAAAAATAAGTTCATAGCTTGGGTATTTCATATTATTACCTAGCTGGGATACAAACTATCCCAGAAGGTCTGATAAGAGTTAATGACTAGGTACACTTCTTAGCTCATTATTCTGTCTTAGATAATACTTTTTTATCTACTCAACAATAAAAGTTTGGATTTTTTAAGAAAATCTTAAAGCCCTGGACAAAAGGCATAATGTAGATTATATTTATCTATATTTTCTGTAATTACTGAACATTACTGAAGAAAGCATCTGCTGATAGTTATTTTAAGTTATGAAAGTGGTATCAATATCTAGCGTTTGACAAGACAAAAATTATGTATTACTTTTGTATATGCTCTACTTATTTCTAAATCTTGCAGCTTATCTTCCAACACCAGTTGAACAGCTTTATTTTGACACAATCAACAAGACATGGATTAACTACACAAAGGCCATATCACTGATTGAGAAGAAAGGACCATTCAGTGTAAATATATCTTTCCAAGACTCTTCCACTGTTCAAGCTGATGACTTATTTAAAATGACTGCCAAAACACCAAACAGTGAAAGGTTTGTGCCAATCCAGACATGTCTGAAGTTGAATAAAGGAAACTACATAACATAGACAGTAGATTGATAGTTAATTCAACATTTTTTAAAGAACTCTACCTTATTTTAACAGCTATAGGGAATTATATTGTAATTTTTTATAATCTACTAAAATGAAATTTATGTTTTCTTTTATCTTGTATGAAATTTCACATGGAGCCAAGAAGAACGTTTGATTACTTATTTGTAAATCTACCATGTTTTGAGTATCTCATTCTCAAACTGTTGGATATATACATTTTTTCTTGTTCTTTATCCAATACAATTGTTTTGGTAGTTAATATTTAAACTGTATGATGCATACATTTTTTCTTGTTTTGTATCCAGTACTATTGTTTTGGTAGTTAATATTTAAACTGTTTGATGCATACATTTATTATTGTTTTATATTCAGTACAAATATTTTGTTAGTTAATATTTAATCTGTATGATGCATATGTTTTTTCTTGTTTTGTATCCAGTACAATTGTTTTGGTAGTTAATATTTAAACTGTTTGATGCATACATTTTTTCTTGCTTTATATTTCGTAAAACTGTTTTGGTACTTAATATTTAAAGTGTATGATGCGTACATTTTTTCTTGTTTTGTATCCAGTACAACTGTTTTGGTAGTTAATATTTAAACTGTTTGATGTATACATTTTTTTATTGTTTTATATTCAGTACAAATATTTTGTTAGTTAATATTTAAACTGTCTGATACATATGTTTTATCTTGTTTTATATCCATTATAACTGTTTTGAATAGTTAGGCTTGTATTTTGTATTCATCATAAAATGTTTTTATTAAAAACGGTTAAATTTCTAATAAAAGCATGATAACCACAGAGAAAAAGGCTTCTAGAAGTGAAACTGACTAAAAACAAAAGAAAGTGTTTTAAAACTATTTTTCATTGTTGTTGAATTATTTTCATAAATTTTGGAGGGAAGAAACATTATCAACATTAATTTACAATGCAACACCAATCTTTTTTTATTTGCCTTCAGTTGGGAACCAGTTGACTTAATTTCTGGAACAATTCTACCACTAACCAGTGACATCAAAATAACCAGTCATGCTGGTATGCATGGCAGATCAGATGTGAATGTAAAGCTGTTCAATTCTAAAGAAGAAACTTTGTTGCTTCTAGATGAAAAGACCTTATCAGTGCAGGTAATTAGTGACTAAAACGGGATAAATTTCTATAAACACGCACAAAATAGCACTATTGATTACAAGATTGTCTGTGAGTTAAGCTAATATTTGACTTACTGTGTTGCAAAATCATATTCTGGTAGCATACCCATAAGGCAATTAATGCTTAATAAAAAATCAACCTGTTTGGAATTAATTTCTAGATGAAATAAAATGTAAACATTTATTTTATTCAGTATAAACTGAAATAAAATTGTCTTTATAAATAAACTTGTTAAGAATACTGTATGAATTAAAAATGTGTGTATAAAAAATTTTAGGGTGTTCATAAGAAAAGAAAAAATAAAACTTTATCATTTCAGTCATTTAACATATACCATTTTATATAATGATATACAAACCTTGATTGTATTATTTTTATAAGAGCTATGGTTGTGGATTTTTTATGCTCTTTACAGTAAAATGCACACATATTAGTCATATAAGATTTTAATAGCTGTTAAGCAGAAAGTTGTAGTTTAAAATATGCCATCTATCCTGACAGGTTAACCCTAAAAACAGTGCTCCAGTTCCACGGATGAATATTTTGATGGAAAACCTTCCACACTTCTCTTACTTAATGAGCTCAAAAACCTTCACTGTTTCACAGTTCATGACTCCTGTGTATAAAGACAGTGATGGTGATGAATTAGGAATAGCTGTATTAATTGCAGAAGAAAGTGAAATAGGTAAAACACATTTTTAAAACACAGTATTAGAAATATAAGTTAGTAGAATAATCCTATATCTTTAAGTTTCATTCAGACTGTAGTCAGGCCTGGATTTTGAATATAGCTAATTAAGATTTACATTTTGTGTCACATTGCTGCAAAACCACTATATACATTGGGGTCATAGGTGAATGCACTGTAATGGTGATTGACAAATACCTTTATTTGTTAAGACAAGATTAACCCAAGAGTTTGTAGCTTGTATTGTTGACTAGCTGCTTTCCCTCTAGTTTATCAGCTCAAAGACTATGTTCAGTAAGCCCTTGTGTAGCTTTGTGTGAAAATTCTAAAAAACAAATAAACAAACATCATTCACAATAAAGCCAAAATTTATCTTATTAAAGTTAAAATAGTTATAGTGAATAGTGGTATTTGCAGATTGCTGATTAGCTACTGAAATTGAAATTATGAAGTAAGATTTTCTGCCAGTTATTTACTTTTATCATGCATCTTTTTTTTTAACCTGTAATATGAGCCTTATTTAGAGGACAACCTTATCCAGAATACTTTTTTGATATTACTTGTAGATGCCTTTATACTGCTTATTCTTGGGAATAAATAAATAGTTAAATGAATAATACACTAACATCTTTGTTTTATGGATCTGGGTGTTCTAGATTAGTTAACTTAAATAAAAAATAGTATCTTTTGTTTTTTTGTTTTTTCTGAATGTTTCAATTGGAAACCATCTTTGGGGCATTGTGTACATTAAATACAAAGTTAAGTTTTCCTTCACATTGAGTTACGATTTTTTCATTGGATATATCTGAACTAATTGTTATACATTATTTTGTCATCTACAGTGAAAAAGTTAAATGGTAGTACATTTCATTTTTTCAATAAGAGACATTCAAAAGAACCTACAACTAACTGCAGTTGTTTTTTTTACATTCCTCTTAATTAACACACCCCTGATTTTGAATGAGGAAAAAAACCCTGCAATTAACTTGTTTTTATAAAATCTTTTTAGCCTATTAGTTTTCTAGTATTTAACTGGCTTTTGGCATTCAAACTATAGTATTTATATAACTATATATTTATAACAGTTATTATAGAAAAAAAATTGGTGGTTCAATTTATGAATGTTTCTGGATTTGCTGTAGGGAGAAGTTCTATCTCTTGGAGGAGAATCGCAGTGAGACAAACATTATCACAATTTTTCTGTAACTGAAATAATTCAAGGAAAAGTAAAGAATGATTTACTTTAAGGCAGTTTAGGAAGACATAATTTTATGCTTCTTAAAACATTGTTTTTATGTAAGAAATACAAGATTGTAAAATAAGGTTAAAATACTGAATTTGCTTGGATGCTGAAACTCCCAACCAATTATTCGATTTGATCAAACAGATTAGAACTACAAGTGAAAGGTATTTCAGTTAAATAGTGAACAATTATTGGCTGATTATCATAATGATCTGTTACCCAAAATCACCAGTCAGTAATTGTTTTATTCAACCTCCCCTCTGTTCTCAGTTTTACTAAAATCTGAATAATTAGCACTGTCGCACATCTCCAGGACTACATGTAAGTTATAAAGTTTAACATTTCATTAAAGATTTTGATCAGTAATTAATCAGCAATGTTTATAAACTTTTTTATTTTCAAA